CGCCCCCGGGCCCCGGGCTTCAGCGGCTCCTGCGGCACCCAGCGGATCAGCGCCTATTTCGCCATCCCCGGCGGTGACGTTGGCACCGTCTCCTCCAGCACCGAGACCTGAGGCGGGACATGCCAGTGCCTCAGACTCGGCACCATTGTTAACCCCGGCACCAGGGGCCCTGCCGGCACCGACACCAGATCAGCAGCAGCTGACCTCTCCGGCACCGTCTCACCTTCACCCGGTGCCTGGTTCCCCTGTGCTTCGGGCTAGGGATGAGACTTGAACATATAGAAAGTCACTGTCAAAGACCCATTATAGGGACAGATCTCTTTCCCCGTCTGCTTCACCAAAAAGGCGAAGTCGCTATCACGGCTACTTTTCCCCCTCGAGGAGTAGGTACAGCCGGCACGATTATAGGGACGCGGTGTATTTAGATGCGCATCGGTCCCGTTCGCGATCCCGGTCGCCCTCCCATCTCTCGAGGTACGGATTGGTGAGGCGCTTTCCATGCCGCATCTATTATATCCAGCATGGTAGCGCACGTTCTTCTTGATACCCTCTCTGTCACGCTCTGAACGTTACTGTGAGCGCTATCATAGATCATATGTCGATCATAAATACAGTTTCTGCCACTTAATGTACATTCTACAACACTGATCAATGGCTTGTTCAAAATGCACTAAAATAATTTAGAATATGCACTGTAATTTCCTAATAGAAAATCAACCTCATTTTCTCAGAAGTAAGGAAGAGCATTAGATAAGTTTGGACAAAGGAATTTTTCAATGTAGGAAAGGGACACTTTGGGGACATGAAAATTCTGAGTTACAGAGAATCTTGAGTAATTAAGGCTGTTCTGACAATCCCAAAAATTATTATGAAATGGAATGGAAAATGTAAGAAAACAACAGCTGTATTAACAGAGTTATCAAAAAGTTATAAAATCCAATGCGTCTCAGAACCCCATGTAGACAATCCAACTCAAAGTTAAGATCAGTTTATGGAAGTGGCGGATGAGATATGGCAAGATGGCAAACCCCAACATCGGTGGCACCTACAAGTAAAAAAGCTGATAGAAAATATTTTGTTCCAGCAAAGGGGTTGGACTTTTTATTCAATCACCCCAACCCAATTCACTGGTAGTAGACGCAGCGCAACGTAGGGGTAAGGTGCCACAATACAGAAATACCCTTTCGGACAAGGACAATAAAAAATTGGATATTTTGGGGAGGAAAGTCTTTTCCTCAGCTACACTTTTACTTCGCATTGCAAATTACTCAGCCCATTTGTCGAATCATAACTTCCATAATTACTCCAAACTAACAGATTTGTTGCACCATCTCCCAGACACCAAGAAACCACTCCTGAAAGCAATAGTACAGGAGGGGTACGCGTCATGTAGCGCTGTACTTCAGATTGCTATGGATGTGGCTGACACAGGAGCTCGGGCTGCTGTGACTGGTATCGCCATGAGCAGATCATCTTGGCTTTCGTCAGCAGGGGCGCCGAAGGAGTTGCAAAGCAAGGTTGAGGATCTGCCCTTTGACAAATTTAAACTTTTTGCGGCAAACACTGATGAGGTCCTCCACTCGGGAAAAGACTCATGCACCACGCTACGTACACTGGGGATATACACACCTTCCTTCAAACGTAGGTGTTATTTCCCTTACCAACGGAGATATGACTTCAATTTTCCTAGACAGCAATCATGTCCCTTCAACAACCAGCGTCCTAGACAGCGCCCCCAATGCAAGCGACCACAGCAGAACCGTTCGGGTAATCAGCAGTCGACTAAGCAATAGATTTGACTTGCTTGTCGAGGATGCAAACCAATTGCCCATAGTCAATACGGAAGCTCATCATCTTTTTCACCATCGTCTACGCTCTTTTTACTACCACTGGTCTACGATCACCACAGACAGATGGGTGCTAGAGGTAGTTCAATCCGGCCTCTCCATCCCTTTTCTCTCTATTCCCTCCACCACTCCCCCCCTCCGTCCCTCTTCAGGGACCCCTCTCACGAGAAACTGTTGGAACAAGAAGTTCAACGTTTGCTCATCATCGGGGCGATAGAGAGAGTTCCCAACCAGTTTCGGGGAAAAGGTTTTTACTCTCGATATTTCCTCATACCAAAGTAGTCGGGAGGATAGAGACCCATCCTGGACCTTCGAAAGCTAAACCAGCATCTTCGGAGGCAGCGTTTCAAGATGGTAATTTTATCAACCATTCTTCCGTCATTGAACAAGAAGGATTGGTTTGCAGTCCTTGACTTGCAAGATGCTTATTTCCACGTAGAAATTCATGTGGCACGCAGACGTTTCCTTCGTTTCCGATTGGGGAGCGAGCATTACCAGTATAGGGTCCTACCATTCGGCCTGGTATGTGCTCCCAGGGTTTTCACCAAGATGTTAGCAGTAGTTGCGGCCCACCTACGCAGACTAGGGGTGACAATATTCCCCTACTTAGACGATTGCCTTCTCAGGGGTACGACCTATATGGAAACATGTCATATGGTTCGGACAGTATCCGACGAATTTGCTACTCTGGGTCTTCTCATAAACTTGAAGAAGTCAACACTAGTTCTGTCCCAAAATCTCATGTTCATAGGTGCGCGCCTCGATTCAGCTATGGCGCGTGCATATTTACCGATGGAACATTTTATAATAATCAAAGAATTGATACACACAGTGGTCCACGCTCCGAAAATTCCCACACGCGTCTGTCTACAGCTGTTGGGGCATATGGCTGCTACCACCATTGTAGTGTGCAACGCAAGGTTACGTTTTCGTTGCCTCCAGCACTGGTTAGCCACGGTTTACATCCCGTCAAGGCACAGTGTCCACAGACTCGTAGTGGTACCACAGTATGTCCGGGAATCCCTGCAGTGGTGGACCAACCCGACCAATCTTCTCAGGGGCGTCCCATTTCGTCGCCCTCAACCTACTACACAAATAACTACAGATGCCTCCCTCATACGCTGGGGAGCTCACATGGGCAATTCCACGGTCCAGGG